AGCATCAAAGGCTTCAAATGAGTCGTATCACCCAATTGTCGTTCACAGCCGCACGTGCGATGACTGTACTCCTTATTTCTTTGATACTAGAATATTGGGCGGGCACAACAACAGATTTGGGAGAGAAACCATTGAATCATTTGCCAAGGGGACTGTAAATAACAACATTTCTGCACCTTCATTATCATTGACAAAGACAGAGGTCGAATCCCTAACACCAGAGATTACTAGATTACTGACACCTCGTCGTGACGCTAGAGCTTTTTAAAGCCTGTTAATACTGCAGATTGGGCGAGTTGGTAAGGCATCATCACGAACCAGCGCAAGTAGACAGTTATTCAAAATCCAAATACACAAAAAATACACTCACACAGCGCTGAACTATCAACTGAATTGTATTTCAAACTTCCTCTTCTTCGACCCCAAGGAATAGGTTGCCAAGGAAGAAAAGGGGAAAGAAAAGGCAAATGGGGGAAGGCGAAAGAAAAAGAAAAGGAAAACAGATGAATAGAAGACAAAGGAAAGCGAAATAAAGGAGAATACTACTAATGCACCAGAGTCCAAGAGTTACAAAATTTACAAAAAATAATTACAAAATTAATCACGAACAGGTATAAACCAGGTGATAAGCTGGCCTACTGTCGACTACACTCTCGGCGTAAATAGTTTGAGTGATGAAAAAAGTCCAAGAGTTACAGAAATTAGTTGTTAAATAATATAAGATGTAGACAAAAATCAGTGCTTATACTGGCTTACTGTCTTAAACACCTTCTGTCTAAATAATGTAGTTCTTTCTCCGATAAAGCTAAGGACGGAGTGCTGACGCACTGGGCTTCTCGTCTTGCAATGTTCTCCGCTTCTTTAATTTCTCGGGTGAGCTGGTTTTTACTCCTGCCTAACACAGCACAGTTGTCCAGTCGCGCAAAACAGCCACAATCCCTACAGTGAATACCTAGGTGACCGGAGTTGGCATTGGCAATGTTGTTGTTGTGCTCTCGCAGGCGGTCGTTTAAACACCGCCCCGTCTGTCCAATGTACTCTTTTCCACAGGAAAGGGGAAACGAATAGACTACCCCTTCAACACATGGGACAAAGTTGGATCTGTGTTTCTTTGCGCAGCTGACGGTGCTGATTGTCTCATGGTCTACAGAAAATAGCGAACAGAGTGAATGTGAATGTAGTGTTTTCAGCACCACACAAACTTCACAGCCTCTGCAAAAAAGTAAACACCTCCTCAATCAGCACCGTCAGCTGCGCAAAGAAACACAGATCCAACTTTGTCCCATGTGTTGAAGGAGTAGTCTATTCGTTTCCCCTTTCCTGTGGAAAAGAGTACATTGGACAGACGGGGCGGTGTTTAAACGACCGCCGTCGAGAGCACAACAACAACATTGCCAATGCCAACTCCGGTCACCTAGGTATTCACTGTAGGGATTGTGGCTGTTTTGCGCGACTGGACAACTGTGCTGTGTTAGGCAGGAGTAAAAACCAGCTCACCCGAGAAATTAAAGAAGCGGAGAACATTGCAAGACGAGAAGCCCAGTGCGTCAGCACTCCGTCCTTAGCTTTATCGGAGAAAGAACTACATTATTTAGACAGAAGGTGTTTAAGACAGTAAGCCAGTATAAGCACTGATTTTTGTCTACATCTTATATTATTTAACAACTAATTTCTGTAACTCTTGGACTTTTTTCATCACTCAAACTATTTACGCCGAGAGTGTAGTCGACAGTAGGCCAGCTTATCACCTGGTTTATACCTGTTCGTGATTAATTTTGTAATTATTTTTTGTAAATTTTGTAACTCTTGGACTCTGGTGCATTAGTAGTATTCTCCTTTATTTCGCTTTCCTTTGTCTTCTATTCATCTGTTTTCCTTTTCTTTTTCTTTCGCCTTCCCCCATTTGCCTTTTCTTTCCCCTTTTCTTCCTTGGCAACCTATTCCTTGGGGTCGAAGAAGAGGAAGTTTGAAATACAATTCAGTTGATAGTTCAGCGCTGTGTGAGTGTATTTTTTTGTGTGTTTGGATTTTGAATAACTGTCTACTTGCGCTGGTTCGTGATGAAGCTTTTTAAACTTTTATATTTATAGCACATTTCCCTTTGGGACTGTAAACAACAATATCTCCGCACCTTCATTATTATTGACAATGACAAAGGTCGAATTCTAAGTAATCGGAGATAACTAGATTAGTGATACCTCGTCGTGACGCCAGCGCTTTCTAAATTTTTATATTTACAGTAAATTCCCTTTCCTTTATAACAATTGTCTCCTTTTCCTTTTTGAGAACGTTGAAACCTTTGGGGAGCGGTTTTATCGTTGTGTTATTTTATGTTGTTGCTAAATGAAAGATGTCCTGTTTCCGTCCTCGCTCTCGCTGTTTTATACTTTCACGTTTTGTATCTATTAACGAACTCGCTCGTTTTCAATTAGAATGTTTAAAGCATGCAATGCTTTTTTTAACGCTACGCTTAAATTCCAAAAATTTGTCCGTCCGGCCGTCCTTGCATTTCCCGCTAAATTTAGCGGAAAAGTCGATATCACGAGATATATTGCAATTCAGTTCCCCGGCTAAATTTAGCGGGAAGATTGATGTCATGTGACCTGGTACGTCATGGGGCATACAGACCAGTCCAGGTTCCCCGCTAAATTTAGCGCAAAAATTGACGTCACGTGACCTATATACACCGATTCAGTTTCCCCGCTAAATTTGGCTGGAAAATGGCGTCACGTGACGTCACCTGAAGTCACATGACTTATACACCTTGAGGAAAATGACGGTACGAGACCTCTACATCAATTCGGTTTCGTCGCTAACTTTAGCGGGAAACCAATAATACACTAATGCGGTTACCTGCTAAATTCAGCGAAAAGAATTCATGTCTTATGATCTAGATATAAACCCAGTTTCCCCGATAAATTTTGAAGGGGAAATCGACGTCATGTTACCTATACAACCATTCAGATTCTCGGTTAAATTTAGTGGAAATATATACGTCACATAACACACCAATTCAGTCACTAAATCCGTCTCGGGCCCCCAATAATATATTTCGTTCATTATGGGTAGGATTCCGTCTTGTTTATTTTTTGTGAAATCGTGGTTCGTCGTGGTTTATCGAAGCTTACTTTTGTTAGATCTTATTTATTTTTGTTTCAATATAAAAATAAGTAATGGACATAAACGTACGCTACATGCATAAAACACTCACCGGTATCGAAATATACTTATGTTGCTACATTTTGCACTGGCGCCCTTGCTATTGGCAGAACCAACTTTCTCACGACATGTCTTTAAAAAAAGTGTTACTTTAATAAGCGTCGGTACTAAAAAATAGCCAACGCCTGAACTCCTAAAATCTTCAGCTGCCCTCCACACAGGCACGTAGCCAGAAAAGCGGGGGGGGAGGGGGGGGGGGGACGCCCCCCCCCCCCCCTCCCCCCCCGCAATTTTTGATTTTGCTGGGGCCTCCTCTTCCCCCGCCCCTCCCCCTCATACAGCATTTTGTCATGAACCCATCGAATTAAAATCATGGCTACGTGCGCCTGCCTCCCCATCCTATGAAATCTACAGGTTCGCATCTTCCACTGTTATAAAAACACAACTCTTCTTCCCTCTAAGAAGCACAAATAGTAAGGTTCAAACTGGAAACCGGAACAGTGACTTTTGTCGTGGACCAGAACTACATGGGCCCATTGAACGAACCTTCACGAGATAAACCAGAAACTATTTTGTCAATGACCCAAAATGGAGAAAAAACTTAATTGGCCTCTTCCTAGAGCCCCTAAGCCTGCACATTGACAAACTTTATTCGTAAAGCACCGACTTTGTAACTTTTTATTCCGCCATCCCAACCTCGAGATTCGGGTAAATCCGAATCGCCGAACACTTAACCGGCGAATGTTTTTCGGGGTTAATCGGCTTTATCTGAATACACGGAACCCTAGTTATAGGACTCTGGAGGTAAAGGTCACTGCCAATGTTTGTACACAAAAAGTGTCCACACAAGATGGAGGAGGGGAGTTTGGGGCGCAATGCAGAGCTCAAGTTCGTCTGCTTTTTGCACAAGGGTTGCGATGATATCGGAACGCCGAGCTCTTATTGGCTGATTAAAAAAAAAAAAGTGGGTAGACCTCGCGTCATCTAGCATTGAGGGCTACCCACTATCCTTTCAATCATAGCCAATCAGAGCTCGGCGTCCTTCTGACGTCACCGCAACCCCTGCGCAAGAAGCAGACGACTTGCTCTCCTTATAGTTATGGTGCCTGGAACGCGTCTCCGACTGGTGTGTTTACCGCGGCCAAAAAAGTGGTCCCTTGATTTCCGCCTGATGACGTCATAGAAGTGTCATGCTGTCGCCGGTCGCGACCCTGGCGGCGTCCCAACAGTTGTGGTGTCTGTAGCAGATGCCTGTTCTGCTGCAGGTCGCTTTCCACTGTGACAGTTCACGGAAGCTAGAGCAGCCGGAGTTGGGACGCCTGGGATGCCTAAAGGGACGCAGTGACGACAGCGACATTCGCGTTCGCTCGTGCTTTTCGCCAGCATTTCTGCGGCCAACCGCCAGGATCGCGACAGGCAACAGCATGACACTCGCGTCATTTGTTGCCACATCGGGACCACTTTTGATGTATGGGCGGGATAGGACGCTAAACACACCAGTCAAAGACGAGATCCAGGCACCATAGTATAGTAGAGCGTAACAAAACGCCGCTGTAGCACTGTCAATGCCAAGACCTCGTGCCGGGGGACGCGCATTCACGCGCCACGGAACAAAAAGGAGAAACAAAAGCGTTGAGAACAAAATGGTCAAATGTCTCTTTTGATCCGAACGCGACGTCGATGCTTAACCACTTCGCCTTGACGTGCGGTTGTTATCGCTCCTACTGTATTGTAAGTAACACGAAACTGCCCCAGTCTTTTTTTTTTTTTTTTGTATGGCGAAAGCGCTATTGTATAACTCTTTACCCAGTACAAGGAGGCTGACTCTGTCTCTTTGACAGGACCCTGGGTCCATGTACAAGGAATATCATCGAGAAAATCACGACACCACTCAAGACACTGCGTTGGCACTAAACTCGTTATCGGCGGTAAGTATACTCTTTTGACCCGATAAAAGCTGTCAGCCGTTTTCATTGTATTGCGTGTATCTGGAGAATAAGGAACAATGAGTGACTAAGAATCTAATCAGTGCGCTGCTGATTCAATGAATGCGTCAGGAGCGACATAATCTAGTAATAAGTCGGCAAAGCCTACGTTCGGCACGTGCAACTCCAGCGTCGAGTGGGTGTAGGAAAAAATGTCCCCGGAATAAATGTCCCCGGAAAAAATGTCCCCGGAAATAAAGGCCCCGGAAAAAAAGGCCCCGGAAAAAAAGGTCCCAGATGGAAAGTAGGAAAAAATGTCCCCAAAGGATTTTCTATCTCTGGGTTTCCCTGATCCTCATGTGCTTCGGGCGGTCCGGTCATATGTCCTGGGAAAAAAGGCACCGTGTGGCAGGTAGGGGAAAACGGCTCCGAAAGAGGATTAGTGAGAACGAAATTGTACCGTTTGCATTATATCCCCAAATAAGCACCTTCAATACCTATAATAACTTTGATGACAATTAACCTCTCGTTTCTATAAAGAAATGACCGCATCTCCACGTGGTGAATTATGTTGATTGGGGCGAAGCTCTGGTGGTGCTGATGATACTGATTTTATTGTTCATAGGTAGTGCTGATGGTGCTGATTTTTTTTTTATTGCTCATAGGTATTGCTGAGTTCCGGGTTGCGTTTCGACTTCATTATTACTGCTTTATGGTCGGTGAAATGCAGAGCCAGTGGTTCTTTTAGCGGATCAGCTTGGATCCGCTGGATGCCGTGGGAAAGCATCTCCACGTCCATGTCAGAAAGAGAATGTGTGGTATAGAACGTGGTTATATACGCATTTGAGCATTTGACCGCAGCGCCCTCCGCCCTCTCCTAACGTTGAGCCAATGCATGCAAAGTTTAACGCGATTACATTCGCATTTGACCGCAGCGCCCTCTGTTGTATAGACGTTGAGCGGCTACATGCAACGTTTCATCCATGACATCCTCAGCTCTTGAGTTACCACCCCATCTCAGAGCCCCCTACTCGTCCCGCAGTTAAGGCGATGGACTAGAAATCCATTGGGGTCTCCCGCACAGGCTTGAATCCTGTCGACTGCGCAAACATTTTTTCTTTTTTTAAGAAGACAGATGGGATGGCAATCGATGTGAGCGCGGACGCCGGACGGACAAGGCTAGACCCTAAAAAACTTCGCCCCTTAAAAAAAAAAAAAAAAAAAAAAAAACTAGCGATCGCTTGTTCGTGTTAAGTGTCGCGCTTTTTACCTATTTGGAAAAGGGTACACAAGTACCTCTCAAATTTCCCGACACAATAATTTGGTTTTAGCTAGAAGTGTTATGAATGTTTTATTCACAATGAAAAACAAACACAAACAGTTGAGATGCAATGTTGCAAAATCAGGAATGAAATGACAAACTCTTGATTCATACACAAAAGTCAAAAACGGATTGTACTTGAAGTGGAAAAAATGTCCCTTTGGGGACATTTTTTCCTACTTTCCACCTGGGGCCTTTTTTTCCGGGGACATTTTTTCCGGGGACTTCTTTTCCGGGGACATTTTTTCCGGGGACGTTTTTTCCGGGGACATTTCTTCCGGAACCCGCGTCGAGTAGATCTGCAGAAAACTGAATACACCGAGATATTTTAAACAATACGTTCCGTCAAGTTTTTTTCGCAGCTATCCTAAAACGTAACTTATTCTAAAACAAAATTTAGTACAGCTGAACGAATCATTGCTATAAAAACTGACGCGAGCGCGACAAAAGAAGAAGTATTTTGATTGTCGAGAAAATGAAGAATCTGTATTGCGTTGAATATCACTGTGACCCCAAAATAAGTAACGATTAGTAAATTCCAGTGTGCAATCTCGATTCAAGCCGATATTCAATCGTTAGAACCAGCTTGTATATTCTTTTTTTTTTTTTGTCGTGCTTCTGAGTACTTATTAATCCAGCATTTTCTTTTTAAGTAAAAAAAAATGTATCTCGTGTTTTTTTCTTATACAAACGTAGCGAACGTTGTTACCGATCTGTGATGTAGAAAAATTTAATCCGAAATCTATTTTTTCCAGTGTTTAGAAACACAAAATATTTATTTAGTATATCCGCGCACAAAAGAAACGCGGTGGCATACTGACAATATTGAACCGCCCACGCCTTAACTTCAAGAAAAACGAAGAATTCTGTCTCTGTTGGAAAACAGTAATTCGATGCTCAGACTCAATCGTACTTAGCAACAGTCAAACATCTTTGAAAACGACAAAATGAAATTTTTCAAACTGTTTTGTTTTCGAAAGGAACAAGTTTCGATTTCTCATTAAAACGAATTTCTTTCCCCAGTATTTATGATCATACCCATTATATATGATGCTGTAATACGTTTCACATAACTCGAAAAATTGACGTTTGGAACAATATAGTGAACAAACTTCGAGGTAGTGGGAACAGAAACCATTCGAGCGGTGCCTGTTTCTGAAGGTGTTTGTACACGCCGTTAAAACAGAATAAATTCAAAGTAAAATATTAACTTTCGTTGATTGATTTAGGCATTAATTATTTAACGTAATAATAATAATACTATGTTTTATTTTTCTTTGGGGCCCACAAACAACTGCACGCTTTTTGTGTGGTCCACTGTCATTTCGTGATTACAGCAAAACCAAAACGTAAAGAACGTTTTGGAACTGATGCAAAGTAAAACGCATCAACAAAAAGCTTTTTTTTCGCTTAGTAGAACGATGTGTATATTTTATAATGGCCAGAAAAAACTGGATTGCTGTGCTTCCAAGGCACAAGAATTTAACGTATCTCTTGATCTTTTTTTTCTTTTTGCAGAAATAAGTTTTAGATACAAGGCACATCCAGAGCGCACTTTGCCTTTTCTCTTCCGCTAAAAAAAATTTAAAAAAAAAAAGCCCTAGACATTGAGCATCTTGTGGTTCGTGCTTTCGCACTTTGCAGGGCGACGACGAGAAGCCGGCTGCGGATTCCCGGAAACAATGGGGCAAAGGAATGCAGTTCTTCCTCTCCTGCTTGTCGATTTCCATCGGCCTCGGCAACGTCTGGAGGTTCCCTACTCTCGCATACCAGAACGGAGGAGGTAACCAAAGACGGGTCCGGGAGGAGGGCAACACTGGGTAGCGCTAAGAATCCGTCCGAGGACAAAGCGCATCCCGAGTCAGGAATGTTTCGTATTGTGTTCTTTTTCAAACGGTAATCAAGCTGACGATACAGTGGGCCCTTTGTTCCGGTCTTTGTATAAAGATTCATAAAGCAGTTCGCTCTGTGATTATTATGTTTTTCATATTGATTTATACTGCGCTGCTGGGTTGCACAAAAAATAAACTACAGGAAATAAAAAGATACAAGCCATAAAAGCATCCGCGTCATTATGACCAGACTTTCCTTTTTTTTTTCTCCAGCCATTTTTTTTCAGTCTTTCCTTTTTTCTTGTATTACTTAGCAGCGAAACTGTAATAAACGAAAATTCAGAAACAACAAGCCCATCCTTAAACCTTCATGTATCACTTATAAGCAGTAAGCAAGGTGCGGACTATGTATAATATTTTGTGAAGGAGATTTGTGCGCTCCTTAAAGCGGTTCAATGCATCAGCCACCCAGAAGATTGACATTTCGGCATGATCAACTCATATTTTTAGTATTACTCCCCTGTCAAAAACTTTCGAATAGCTATAGCCCCTATTGGCGTTATAATCATTTATTTCAAAACGTTCAAGGGCAGTTCATTACAATAAGTACTAATCGGTCTCGAACCGCTCTCAGTATGCTTAAAGTCTTCTGTGCTGCACCTAATTATTTACACGCAGCATTGAAGTCGGACGTTAGTACTTGTGCGCGTTGTAAACGTCAACAAGGAATTCATTTTTTATTATTGTTATTTCATACCATCACCTTATCCTTGAAATCACCAATAATATCAGTCATTAACATTTGTTAGCAGTGCTTCTTCAATTTTTCTTGCCAGAACCGTTTGTCTTAGTTAATGAAAGGATTACTTTTCGTGCCCTAAGTCTGAAATTAATAAAGCTATCTAACGACCTCTCGCACATTACACTGCAGGACAGAATTTGTTCAAATAATTCCTCAGAAGGAATCTTAAGTCGTTACCTTTATAAAATAAAAGTCCCGACTTTTTCTAGAAAACCGTTCTTTCATTTTAAGCCCCTGACGCAGGAATTTACCCCTTCGGGAGCTTGCTACCTTCCGACAGATCAAAGTATTTTTATCTTCTACATCGTAAAAAGAAATTTTATATCGGTATTTGAATATTTTAGCCTTATCAAAAAGTGAAAAGTCTCAGCAGGTACAAAAATTCCGGAACTTCTGATGAGATTATACAAATAGGTATACCAACTTGCTTCGGTCGGTTTAGTGAACAACTCCGAATAGCGCCAGGTCTGTCGGCTTTATGTTTATTTTATGTTATCTTTAATACAACGGTCCTCGTAGACAGGTTAGTTAGTATAGCCGATTGCCAGAGCGGAGCTGAGAAAAGAACTCACTGTCGCAAGTCACACCAGCTTTAGAGAACAGGCCGATTTATTTAAATCATATACAGGTTCTCGGCTGCTAAGAATTTCGTAATCAGGAAAAACGGAGAGATGACTAAAACACATTAGCAATGTCCGACAGCAATCCACATTCGTATGTGATGGCCTATAATAGATTTTCACTTTTTTCGCCGCTGCTTTTCAGTTTCGATCACTCGTATAATCATAAATAAACTAGACTCATTGTGCACATCAAATTTCGCTCACGATAAAGTACGGCATAATTTTATGACATCCCTCTTCGTGGCGCATCGCAACATCACCTTCGACAATGTTCGAAGTGGCCTGATCTCGTGACCCTTATCTTGTTTTTCTCTGTCTTATTTTCGACGTCGCTATCTGCCACCCAGACAAACAACCACACGGATAAATTGCGATTAAATATTTGATGGGAAAATCGAAGAATGAAAAACACTCGTTAGACGTCTGGAACGCTATCCAGCTCTACCAGATGCTAAATATAGTTTATGTCCTGCCGACATCAGTTTTGAGACTTCCTCCGTGCAAATTCCGTAGATTAACTAAACTTCATTCGTTATCAATGGAAAAACACGCAGCACTTTGAAATCACACTTTGAAAACACGCAGCACTTTGAAAACACTAAAAATACTTCAAGCCCTGTCGACATCAGTTGTGAGAATTTCTCCGTGCCAATTCCGTAGATTTACTTAACTGCATTCGTTGTCAATGGAAAAAACCACAGTTCTTTGAAATCAGACCTCGTAAGTTCTCCGCGGCACCGCCCTAAAATCAATAGTGTTATCGCGCACGTGTTCGAGAGTCTCGTGATATGGATTGGTCTTTCATTTGAAACAATACTAGTGCGATAAGCACGTGCCAAAGTGCTTCTTCATCCTTGCCGCACCCTTGTCGGATAGATCTTTTTTTTTCTCGTATGTGTGCCTTTGTTCCCTGGAAATTCACGAGCACCAAGGTCACCGGAGTTACCTAACATGATAAGGAAATCGTCGTCTTTAAAGGGAAGCTACGTAGCTTCTTGGAAAAAATGAGTTAGAAGTGAATTCTAGTGTATTTTTACCCCGTGAACCCGAATACCCAAACCATTTGCTGCGTAAGTATTGTTCAACGCGAGAAAAACGCGAAAGACAGTCGCTGTCCGTGACGTCATCGACGGCTCTTTTGGCTGCCCAAGGCTAGGGGGGCGGGGCTTCAGCCCTATTTTGAAATTGCTCTTGTGGCTCTCCGGCGCGTCGCATTGAAATATAATTTTGATATCTGTTATTCTAAAAGCCAAATGAATGCAATTCAAGCGTTTTTTCTCAAATGTAGAAGTGCCCCATCTTCCCTTTAAGCAGCAAAAAAAAAAAAAATTCTCGCAGAAATGTGTGTGGGTTTGTGTGTATGTGTGTGTGTGTGTGTAGGGGGGGGGGAAGGGCAAGAAAATAGTAAATATTCGAGTACACGCCCGATCGGTAAAACATATACCACCGTATCTACTGAAATGCAAACTCCTTTAATTTTAGAGTGTTATATTCTGAAATAAAAAAAAATACGTTTTTTTTTTAATTATTAAAAACAGGATAGCCGGTTTTTTTTCTTTAGAAATATTGAAGGCAACGTAACTAAGCAGGCGACCTGGCTATTATGAGGCACTCTGCAACCCGAGATTGGGGTTTACAAAGAGGTACAAACACAAACTTCTCAAGTGAGACGTTTGTGTTTGTCACTCCTCGTAAACCTCCGTCTCGGGTTGTAGAATGTCTACATATTTCGCGTGCCGAAACACTAAAAAATATATATGTATATTTATATATATATATTTTTTTTTTAATTGTGTCGCTGTTTTTTTTGTTGTTTTTTTTTGAGAGAGAGAGAGTAGAGTGTTAGGTGCTTTCTGTTTCGTGACAAAAAATTTCCCACCAAACAAGACGTTTTAAAAAAAATCTTGAGGCGAATTGTTTTGGGGTGTGACGACTCCTTGGCGTCCAGCAGACTGTCCAGATTTCAGATATACTACTTAAAAAAGAATAAAAGATTTTCATATAATTTTATTTGTAGAGTCAGGACTCACTCTTTTTAAGGAATACTTTATGTGCGTGCACTAGGCATGCAGGGAAGGTTTTGTTTTTGTATATTGAAATTTTAGAGTTTATAGCGATTCCCTGAAACTACTGGGGAACACTGTTGACGTTTAAAAAATGTGCTACTCTAAAACTGCAATCCATAAGTTTTGACTTAAAGCATCTATATACAAAAATAAAAAAATAAAAAAATGACAGAGCTGGAGAAAGTTATATCTCAGAAGAACGGATCGCCACTACCAAAATCAAAGCGAACCCGTATTTTATATATATATATATATATGAATAATGAGTGTCGAATTTTATTCTTTACCTCCAGGTGCATTCCTCATTCCGTACTTCGTGGTACTGTTCCTCATCGGGAAGCCCGTCTACTTCATGGAACTCGCCATCGGACAATTCGTGAGCAAGAGCCACGTCAAAGTCTGGAAGTGTGTTCCGGCTCTTAAAGGTCGGACTAATTGTTTCCTCTAAAGATGGTCATAGTGACCTTATAAATTAGCAATAGATGAGAAATAATAAAAAAATAAATTACCAGCGATCTTTATCTTTGAAGTCATGGAATGCGCTGAAAGCAGTATTTAAGAAGCGAACTTTTCAGTTTTCTTGGGACACAATGTACAGTTTTTACGGAAAGTGAAGTACATAGTTATTCATTTGCCCGCTAAATTTCATAAAAAAATTCACGTCATGTGACCTCACTTGGCGATACGTAATCCCGTGACGTGACGTCGTGCTGTCAAGTCACAGCGTCACGGGACGTCGATTTCACATTTTACGGGGAAATTCATTGACGAACGTACGAATGGACAAACTTCTATGAGGGAGGGGGGGGGGGGGGGGGGGGGTCTATTGTGAAGGGTTTCATCCTTTAAAAAGCGACCATGCTCAGAGCCTGCGTCTGCAGAGGTAAAAAGTGAAATCATGAATTCTGGTTCCCATTTGCATTTCCTAGAACAGTGTTCATTTAAACCTTTCATACACCGTTGCATTAAAGGTACCACTGAAACTTTGAAAGCAACTCAGGGTAAGCACGGTGCAAAGAAGTGTGATCTGAAATACAATAAGGAAATGCGATGGTGCTACGCGCACTCATGTATTCTTACCAAAGCAAAAAAAAAATCGAACTACCATATAATCATTTTTTTTCGCAATTTTAATAACCCCTATTTGAATCCTTTTTGTTTACTTTTTTAGAGTTTATGTTGTTCCTCAGGCTCCACGACATCTTTTCGTTTGTTTCAGGAATCGGAGTTGCGCAGCTGTTTTCTACATTCTACGTGACGGTGTCATACAACTACATCATGGCCTTGTGTTTATTCTACGTGTTCGCATCAATGCAAAGTCAACTTCCCTGGACTCACTGCGATCCTGAATGGAGCGACAGCAACTGTTTCGACTCCAGGGCGGTACGGACTTCTTCACTCGTCAAATTCGGCTGTTCATTGGTTTCGTCGATCCTTCATCTGTTATTATTATCGCCGCGTTTGAAATTGAAGGTGGTGCATGTTGCTTGCAATTCTGTTTGGTGCGAGGTTTACATGAAGATCATTATTTCGCACCAATTACGTTCGATTGTCAGCTGACTTTGTAAAGTAGAAGAGATGGAAAACTCCGCACTTTGCGAGCGCCAATTTTTACATTAACACCAAAATAAGTGTAGTTCTGTCAAAACTGTAACATTGGCAGAATGCCTTGCCCTGTTTCCCTGCTTATCTTAAAGGGATGCTGAACTGAAATTTATATTTTGCAAAATAAGGCCGCAGAAGCGTTGAACAGGACGCTACAAACTCTCAAACATCACTTGTACATCCATATCTCAACCGGATGACCTTATTCCTGAAAAAGAAGGGCGCAATCATGCGAGGACTTTGACGTCACAATCGTCTTGGAACAGTTGAGAATGAAAGGTAACGGCCTCTCTTCTCTCCTCCTCGCTACGGGTTTACCCGCTCTAGGGAACGAAGCCAAGGGGAGAGGGAATGAGAATTGTAATGTCGCATGGTCTCGTCGGCCATGTTCAATCCCGCGCTTCTTTTCCAAAAATACGGCCGACTGTTAGAGATATCGTCGTACGAGTGATGTTTTTGGGTTTTGCAGCATCCCGCCTATCGCTCCAGCCTCGTTTTGTGAGCTCCGAATTTCGGTTCAGCATCTCTTTAAAATGCTCGGACGCCTACCATCACCTAAAAAAAATAATTCGGGTGCTGCGATTTTATTGAATCCCGGTAGAAACCTTTGATTCCCAAGTCCCGTCCAAGTTCAAACTTCGATGCTTGACCTGAACTCGGTAATGGGTCACCATTATCTATTCTAAAGTTATCTAAGTCCCCACGATAAGCTAAATACTAACAGTAGCCGTATGTATAAATAATTTTGGGGAATTCCATAATTATGCCTCCCGTTCCTATGAAGTGCCTTGTTAAACGGAGATATTTTGTGATGTACCTTAGTCCTTCTCTATGTACGCTTCATCATTCTGTCTGGGCTCTTCTTGCAGGCTAACAGATCCGTCCTCAACAGTTCCAGTGCTACATCATCGGCAGAGCAATACTTTCAGTACGTATCAGGTAACTTAAGCTGGTTCCTCTAATGGTCTGCCGCATTCACAGCGCCTAAACAAGAGTTTTCGTTTTTCTTGTGCTATCAATCTAAATCTGTGTTTTTATATGGGTACAATAACGAGCCCAAGTGTATTTTCAGTATGGTCCAATTTTTACTCTCGCAGATTGTTATTATCTTACTCAACAAACAATATTATATTGTCAAACGTTCGCACAGTGGCGTTTAGCTATAATCGACGGCGCCAAAACTTTCGACGAGATAACCCATTCACGCAACCTATGGGATAGCCCTGAAACTCTTCAACTGTGTATATTTTAGGCGCCATTTTTTCACCGTGAGCTTGAACTGATTCTCGCAACGTTAGAAGAGTCCATTTTTCAACGATAGTACCCAGATTTGAAATTGCAAATGGTGCGAAACCTTTGGTCTAGTTATACTCAATTCGAAAGAAATGTAGGGCTACCGATAGATGGTCCTAATGCGTTCTTTTGGAGCAAGCAGTCAGATGTGGCTGTAGCGCGGACGGTCGTAATGTGTCAACCAGCCTTAAAGGGCCACTCAGGTGGGTTTTGAGATCGTATTTCCGTGACGAAAACTCAACTTACACGCCCTAAGCATCCCACACACAAAAAAATGCTATTACAATACATGGTTTTTTTTCTACATTAAAGACGCTACCAAAATATCGCGACACGCCCCCCTTATTTTGATATTAATCCTGAAAAATTGACGTGTTGCTGTGTATAGTCGCGCTCTTATTCAAAAAAAGAAAAGGCCACGCATGATTATAAATTTAGTGTTTCTAGGCACTAAAAAGCACTGAATTAAAATCATAATTGTCAGTGTGTACTTAAATCGAGGAAATAAGTTGAGCTATTAAAAGCTGATGTGTTGGATACACTAACAGTGCTCTTATAGTGCGATTTCGTGTTGACAAAACTATAACTATAAAAAATGCGTATTTTTACCTTTTAATTACAGACGGCATGTTTTACGAGACTCCGGAGGCTTCACACTACCGTCTGTGCTGGACTGGCGAATGGCGTTGTGCTTTCTTCTGGCCTGGACGTGTGAGGCGCTGTCTACCTTGAGGGGAATTCGGTCTGTGGGAAAAGTAAGCATTGAAAATCCCTAATCGCTCCCTATATATATATATATATATATATATATATATATAGATAGATAGATAGATAACTGAGAAGAAGAACAACCTTAGTTAAAACAGCAACAACGGACGATATATTCTTCGTCCGTTGTTGCTGTTTTCACTAAGGGTTTTTTCTTCTCAGTTAGATAGCCACACCTTAGGCCTCCCGCCACCATGCCCGTTATATATATATATATACATTTTTTATAATGATTGAAGGGCGTCACTTAGTGGTCCAATATTTTTTTTTCTAAGCCTATGATTAGTATAGTGCTGGACATTAAGGTATGACTGTTTAAATCTTATCGGCCCGAACCTTTATTCTAGCCATATAATTTCAAGAATATCAGAGGAGCATTCATTTTGCTAACTCGGTCAGGTAACCTGCTCGTTTGACTTCAAGACTATGCTGAACATCAGATACGTCTATTCGACGGACAAGTGTTTCACAAAGCGTCTTTCGCGAATCGCGACGCGACGTGGGCCACGTCAATCAAAGGACAGCACACATTACGCATAGCGAAGAACGCACCATGTAGAGGCAGCCAAGCTCGCGCCGCCGTTGGTTGAGATCGAGGGAGGAGGGGGGGGGGGGGGGGGGTGACTAAAACGTTTCGGTGCATCAGCGAGAGTAAACAGTCAAAAAACGCACGAGGTGTGCAAAGGGCAGACGAGCTTCATCAAGTACGCTGATGAGCTTACTTGCAATATGACGGCACCATGATCGAATACGACTGAGAAATTTTAAATTTGGCCCGAATACTAGAGCTCGGTACTAGTATAATAATTTCTTTGTCGCCGGATATTCAACATCGGAAATCTGTCGTACTCGCTGATGTAACAAGTAACATATAACAACTGCGTAGCATGGAAATTACACTTGTGTCTCGATGCACTGCCAGTCTAGCTGCGTAGTATAGCTATGAACATATGTCGGTAACTGGAATATTATAGTATTGTGGGCCAGGGCGCCACGCACTATGGTCACAGATTGAGAATGTTGACGCCGTTTATGTCCCAGAATTTTAACGTAGAAAGTCTTTTTGGGCTTGACACCCCTACCAGAGCAAGCTTACATCACACTAACTTTAGCGAGTCATGCGTGTTACTTGTGTAGCGGCAAGGTAATCCGAGCCGACGAGAAGACGACGAGATGGTCAACTAGGAAAACCAGAGGCGCGAGAGAGGAGCTCGAGGACGGCAGAACGATTCCTGATCTTGACGGTGACAGACACCCACCTATCTGTCACGCAATAAAGGATCCTACACTTGCAAGCGGGGCAAGTCGCACGCAGAGCTTGTATGCGATCAAAGAACCCCAGAACATTACAGATACGTTCGCAGACGAAGAACGTATTCTACTACGTACTTCGGGATTTGTCTGCTCAGCGAAACTAATTCTGCCAAGCCAGGACTCAACACTAGGCACTTTTTATTGTGCGTGAAATGTAGCGCTTGACAAGAGAAACGTAATCGTGTGCGGTTCATTATTGATATTCATGATTTGGTCTTAGCCCAATTGTTAGCAAAGAAACATTTTTGTTTTATCTACGCCATCCACAGTGTCATGCTGCGTTTGGATGAGATTTTATTTCCTCTAATGTGTTTCATGCACAAATGGAGGAGCGTACAATAAATAAGAGCACAAAGATACTTACTCAATGTTTACTCTGGTCCAGTTGCCTACGATTAACAGCTAGGAAGGTATATTTGAAAATGGTTGACATTATAAAGAAAGCACACTCCTGTCCTGCTTATCTTCACCTGCAAAGGGTATATTATTGTGCTGTCAGTGAACACAAGCCAAAACATTTTTAGAACAGTAATTGGCTATTTTCTAAATGTAGTATACATTCTTGTTTTCAGGTGGTTTATTTGACATCTTCAATGCCGTACGTGGTTATGATATCGCTGCTGGTTATCACGTGCCTTCAAGATGGCGCCTGGAACGGCATCAAAGCCTTTTTTGTCCCTCACTGGGAAAAGATACTTGAAATTGAGGTAAGTAGTGGTCGGTATATTTGCTATTCGTAACACATTTTAATGTCGAAAGCTGAGGTAATAGCCATCCCCTTAAAGTAAAATGCACAAAAACGTGTCTCTTAATTTTCATGAGGCAAAGCATGTCAAGGCCAAAGAACAACACGTGTACTTAAACCTGAGGAGTTATTCACGGCAAATATGTACTCTCGCATCAGTTGAATGGAAAATAATGTAACGAACCATATCGTAGAATTAAATATCTGATTTACAAAGGACTACTATTATATGCTTGTTCTCACTTTTCTGTATTTAAGGTCTGGTTCAAGGCATGCGAGCAGTCATTCTTTTCCCTCACCACTGCCTTTGGACACCTTATTATGTACGCTAGCTTCAACGACTTTAACCATCAAGTTGGAAGGTTTGTAAAACAATTATCTTACACTCACTTAGTTATAATCAGCCATGTCACATGCGCTCATTATGGTTGCAATCTTTTCAGAGATGCATTTTTCATCAGCATTGCTGACACAATGACTAGCATTCTAGCCGGCTGCGTGGTCTTTGCCACTCTGGGATCGCTGGCCCATGAACTGAACACCGATGACGTATCTCAGGTTCTCAAGGGCGAATCCGGTAAGCGAGATTGTTTACCTGAAGTTGCGTTTTACGCTACAAATCCTGACGATTCTGCTACATGTGATAACGAAGGGGGTCCGTTGCCATACTAACTAGCATGACTGTATATATTTTGAATTATTGGCCCGCAAACATCAATTTGCTGTGATGTCTGACTTACCGACTCATAATTATCAAACCTCTGCCGTTTCTATCCCCTGGTCAGTATGGCCCATGTGTCATTCACGTACAAATAGTATGAGTCTAAGCGTTTGTGCACCTTGGATTCAAAATAGAATATCCGTATTTTCATGATGTTTAAGTAGCAAAAGACGAACCGTCTATTTGCAACGGGCTTGTGGCAGCTGTATAATAGTATTTTATAGTCATTAATATGTATTTAATTAAATAATTGGGATCCAAATCTATTTACAACTTTCTTTAAATGCTTCATGATTTATTGGATAGTTTGTGCATATTAAATATAACTATGGCGTGATTTTCTTTCTCACCTTAAAGATCTTGCCTTGGCCTTCGTGACCTACCCCGAGGCTCTAAGTCGAATCTCGTTCGTCCCTCAACTCTGGTCTGTGATGTTCTTCATCATGCTGTTTCTACTTGGTCTTGGTACTGGTGTAAGTAGTGGAATATATCGTTCTGGACTATTGATCTGTTGCTTGTATTCGGATAATTAACCATAGTGAAACCACTCTTTGGTTAAGGCGATAGGTATAACTTTTCGTAGCCTAAACTCCTATTCTTCCGTTGCCATATCTGCCTCTCATAGCCATTGAAATCTTTATAATTTCAAGGGAGTAATCAGAAATACACGCTGCAAAGAATGTAAATAGAAGCTTGGACAAAAATTAATAAACAATAAAGAAGGGGGGAACATTGGAAGTTTTTTCACGTGTGGTGCCACGCAGTCTTTTCACTTTGAAGTTCTACTTGGCAGAAAGAATAGAAAATGTGGCAACGCAGTTGTATGTCATATATTGCCGGTAGAATTAAAACTTACTCAGGTTAGGCGCGTATCGTTAATATTGTTTTAGTGATCACACCCATCCCGAGTTTAAAACACAACTTAAGAAACGTTGGTTTATCTTGTTGTTTTAGATCTTAGCCACACCTATGCCATAACTGCGCTACTCCAAAATTTAATATATCTTCTTTATTTCTCCTTTTTATAGGTTGGAGACGTTCAAGCTATCACCACGGTATTGACCGACCAGTTTCCGGGACTCAGAAAATTCAGAAGCCACATATCAATCCTCTTTTGTGTCATTTGCTTTGGCACCGGTCTCATCCTTTGCACAGACGTAAGTCAACGTGTTCCAATTTGATATTTTATCCATTTAAGATACATTTGCGAACATTTTGCAATAATCAAAGCAAATGCCACGTGCTAATTACGCAAAATAAGTTCAACTATAACCCTTAATCTATATTGGAAGCTTCGCTTAGGTTTTCATCAGTAGCAGCATGGCACTTATGACTGTTGTACATTAATGCTATGACTCTCTGACTGAGGCGCGTTCAAGGAAATATTTTATAGTAATTTATGTGAGAGTGATTACCTGGTTAATTGTTCATTCATTTGCATCAGGCGTTGAAGAGGCACAAACATCATACGACTTTTTAAGCAGACCACTAATCTTTGAATTTCGTAATTCACCAGAAAGTTTCAGTGCCCACACTTAACTTTCATAACTTTGATAACTAGTCGATAGATTTTGCAGCCATATTCTCTGCAAGGGAGTCTGAATTCCAGATTCTGCAGCCTCTTTAATAGTCTCAAAGTCAAAGGATCAACGTGGATGTGGTCTTGCTACGCGCCACACGAGCAGTTCCCGGGAATTTCGATTACCATCCTAGTCCAATAAATAGGTTCCCCAAGAGCTGCTGTAAGGCGCAACTGACGTGGCGCGCGGAAGAATAGAGGTTTTTCTTCTATTTAATAGTTGAACGTATGTAGCGCTTCCACGGCACAACCTACGTGGTACAAAATGGAGATCTTACAAAGGCTAAAACATACGATTATTATTGGGCCTGTAGCAAGTCTTCATTAGTAAACAAGTGTAGCATTCAAATTACGTTTTATATAAAAGACGAATCTTTTGTTTTCTCCATCACCTTTTTTTTTTTAGAGTGGAAACGCATTGCGACTGCTATTTGACAACTATGGTGTGGGACAAGCCGTCTTTATGTACGCCATATTTGAAGTGGTCGGACTTATGTGGATCTATGGTGAGTTATCTCCAGGCGTTCTTTTGAACACTCGCGATCCCGTTAATTATAATTATAATTCCGAAAAACAAATACATGTCTAAAAGCATCAAATTACATAGGCGCACAAAGTTGCTAACGAGTGCCTGAAATCCGGTTGTATAATTAAAAAAATATTTATTTGACCATTTTTGTTACAAAAAGAAAGACAGAACGAGTGTTAGTTGATATTTTGAATACCCACGGCAAACGGTAAGTTAAATACTGAATATGAAAAAGAAAAAAATTTCTGTGTAAATTAAGAGGTTGCGATGTTTGCGAAATCCTGCAAGCATTTCAGTGTTTACAGCATCAGTAAAACGAAACGTGTACTGAGGCAGTGGCTTCAATGTAACCAAAATATCTCGATGACTTTGTCGTTGTTATAATTTCCCTTGGGAAGCCTGTATTTACAGTACATTTCTTTTTCTTCTTTTCTATTGCAGGTCTTAGGAATGTCTGTGATGACTTTGAATTCATGCTCAAGGGGAAAATATCCTGGTATTGGAAGATGACCTGGGGATTCATAACCCCAGTCTCACTAATTGTAAGTTGCATTTCAACGACATCTGAAGTACACATTCCATTTGTAATCTGTGTTAATAAAACAATGCCCTAATATACCTTAAATTTTTCAAGGATCATTATATCGATGCCTGACTGGGCAAAGTACTTCAATTACCTAAAATAGACATATTTCCCATTTCAAATCACGTTTCCAGCATTTACAGATTGTGTCTTCAAAAAAATCAGTAATAATCTGCTATAATAGACTATGTGACGTCTAATCTGATCTAAGTCTTGAATTTGCTATCAACCACTGCCAACTGTCTCTATTCTGAAGTCTACCTTTTTTGGCTTAATCCGCAAAACCTATGTATCTCAATAAGCAAATACTGCTTCCGAATACCACTGCAACTGTGACAAAAAGTTGAGATTGTTTGAGTATCCAACTTCTTTCGTGAATATCGAATGTAATACGAAGAAACATGGCGCCGGGACATCATTCAGAGGAGTCAACCTAAAGCAGGCGAGCTAATTCTGCTTGCCTTGTCGAAAAAGAGACTCATTAAAAAAATGAATGAATTCCTTAATCTGGTCTCCGGTATTATATTGTCCGTTATTTTTACACATTCTCACTACGCACGCGTCATGTCCTTTCAGACTTTTTTCTTTTCCCTCTCAAGATCTCTTGATACTGTTAAAAACAAAAAAGAAATACCTGTGAAATAAACTAAGCCATGCACACAGAAAGCCTTACACCCATTAGAAGTTCTAAAATATATTAAATTGTGTTCGAAAATGTACCTTTTACTTTTTTTTTTTTATCCCAGGCAATATTTATTTATGGCAACGCGACGGAAGGAAGCGCCTCCAGCTTACCACCGCTAGGACAGATTATCGGATGGGTAATGGCTGCCATCGCGATCGGTCAAGTGCCCCTCTGGATGCTTGTGACATTCGTGAAAGCGCCTGGATCCACTCTCATACAGGTAACTTTTTTTTTTTTTTTTGGTTTGTCTACGTACCGCGTCCAAAAAAGCTGTTGCTCGATTTCCGCCTGATGACGTCATAAAAGTGTCATGTCGTCGCCGGCCGCGATCCTGGCGGTGTCACTGCAGCAGTAATGGATGTAGCAGACGCCTGTTCTTGCAGGTCGCTCTGCAGCTTGACACTTTACGGAAGCTTCGGCAACAAGGAGTTGGGACGCCGCGACGACAGCGACGCTCGCGTTCGCTCGTGCTTTTCGCCAGCATTTCTACGACCAACCGCCAGGATCGTGACATCCGACAGCGTGGCACTCCGCCTTTAGTGACGTCATTTGTTGCGCCTTCGGGCCACTTTCGATGCATGGATGGACTGCGGAGCGCAAGTTCGTCTGCTTCTTGCACAGGGGTTGCGACGTTGTCAGAACGCCGAGCTCTTATTGGCTGAATGAAAAAAAAAAATAGTGGGTAGACCTCCATGCATTTAGTTTTGAAGTCTACCCACTATCCTTCCAATCAAAGCCAATCAGAGCTCGGCGTCAGTCTGACGTCACCCCAACTCCTGCGCAAGAAGCAGATTACTGGTTCTCGGCATAGGACGCTAAACGCATCAGTCGGTCACGCGTTCCAGTCATCGTAGTTTTACAGGGCGCAGTAATCGGACGCTTTAATGTCTCAAAATAGCGGAGGAAACATTGAGGAAAGGGAGAATAGAAATATGCGCTGTCGGATGTAAACGACGTCCTGCGACCAGGGCCAATCACTGCGTTGAAAGAAGATAACCGTGAGGAGGACTTAAAACACGCGCAGATCAAAAGCGGGATTTACATAGCACGTGGAAACATAGCGTTCAGGGCCGCTGCGCCCGTTCTGGATTTGTGATAATATGTTTGCTTGGCCTTGTTTTTAGCTAATCGTACTCCCCAGATGACAGAAGTTGTCCCGCAACGCTCTCCACAACCCGCTACGCTACCCGGAACTCTACAGTCAAGGCCACCGACGCGCAGGCACAGTAGCGTTAGTAGCGGCTTCTTCGTTGCGGACGGCTTAGCGAAGGGGAAAACGCGGTCTAAGAAAACTCCCTAATATATACCAAAATCGTAGCGTCATTTGCGTCCATTCGTCAGTAGCACAAGCAACCGACCAATATGACCTGGCAAATAGATGTCACCATGTCACCTTGACACAGTAACCCGATTCAGATGTGGTAGATTGAAATTCTATGACTGCCGTCTTACTGTTGGAACATCAACAAGAGAAAATGTCGATTGAAAAGAAGTAAATGTATCAGTAAAAAAAAAAGGGACTCAAACAAAACCGCGGTAACTAATTGAATAAAAGGTAAACATTCCTATCAAGCATTTCGTCGTTTACCCTAAGACTGGGGTTTTTTTTGAAGAGCAGAAGTAACAGAAAAAACAGACAGGTCTCAATCTGTTACTTCTGCTCTTCAAAAAAAAAAAAAAAAAAAAACCCAGTTTCAGGGTAAACGACGAAATGGTTGACTTCCACCAGCTAGCCTGTACTTTGACTCTTTTCTCGTTATTCCTATCAAGATTGACTGTAATCGTTCAGCGCCTTTTCAAATTTCTAACTCATAAATTCGTGTATCGCTTCATTTTCAGAAATTGAAATCAACCTTCACGCCAGATGCTAACTACGGTCCAAGTGATCCGAACGTCCGCAAGGAGTGGAAGCTGTGGAAAGCAGCTAGAAACAACAAAGATTCAGTGGTCCCCATATATGCCATCAACGGACAGGAAAATCCTTCTTTCACACCAGACATCATCAACAGCTGATGACTGTTGTGCACGCACTTGTATCTGTGATAACCATCATCGTTTCACCCTAAGTTTTACGCATACGTCCAGTAGAGTGAACATTTTTCCCTCTTTTAATATTGATCGTGCATGTCATCTGTATGTCTCGTCTATCGTTTTAATAAAAGCGCTAAATTTTCTATCCATCTAATTTTTTTTATCAAATATGGCAGAACAGATTGCACCATATTTTGAAAGTCGAAGAAACAACATTCTTTATTTGAACACTCGTCTAAAGATAAAGTAAAATTAAAATAACAAGTTTACAAGGCGAGATCTGTCAAATGTCAGAGCATGCTCAAGCCTAAGCAAGTCTTTGTGAGTAAAAATGTCTAATGTTATGATTACGTCAGTCTTTAGGGCCTTTTCACGAGCGTTCAATATCACACCAATTCTGTCTTGTCAGCATTGATCGAAGTGATATTTGCACCGTAGAAATTAATTCAGAGTTTCTTAGTGCGCTGTGCTCAATGTTCATGCGCATATAGAGCCTGAAATTTAATTTACTTGCAAATGAACTTTTTCTAGTAACGCGCGCCGTCTGCGGAGTGGTCTTCGAACTACAAATGAAGGGCAGCCCAACTTGCCTCCGCCCGTCAGAGTACAGTGGCATCGTGCTGTTGTAGCGATCTTCGTTGCCTTTTATTACCCATACTAGGCTCGCATATACTCAAACAAGAACGGCCAAAAAGACGAAATACGCGCGAAGGTAGGTGGTGAATACGTTGATCGATTGGAACTTTGCCCTGAAAAATGGCGACAGAAGGAAGCAAGGGCAGGAGAGGGGGTTTTCACATGCGCAGAAACTTGCAGGAAAAAGGTCAATTGGATTAACACTTGAGAAATACTGTTACCGAAACCGTTGGTCTGCAGGAAAATAATAATATGTTAAGTAGGTAAAAAGTTTAAAAAATCGAAACACTCCCCTACCGAAAAATTCGGTCTAACTTTTCACTATCCGGATTATGAAACCGTAAATTTGTTTCTGGAAACCCAAAATCCAGATTGTTGGCAAAGGAATAATTTTTGAAAACCCAAATTCCAGATAGAGTCCAGATTGAATCCAGATAGATTTCCAGTTGCATAATCCGGATAGCGAAAAGTTATACCGGATTTTTCGGTAGGGTCGCATTGGTTAGCGAGCTCAGGGGTGTGGTTTTGCCGAACTCGTATGCACCCAAAACTTTTCTCTCTACGTTTTAATTGACTTCGGGTATAATTATCCAGGCCGAACGTTGCGTCGCTTTTTCAACTCTGGACGAGCCGCACCGGCTCCCTTTCATGATGACTGAGCTTAGGAATCGCAGGGCGTAAACTATTAGGTTGACGCTTTTTTTTTTTTTTCGTAGTTCGTTTTTTGCCGTTAATAATAATAAAAAAAAAATTTATGTTGGAAGAAGTGGCAAACAAGATGTCTTCAAAGTCAGAACTACCGAGTTTCGCACGTTGAGGTAGCTTTCAGAACACCCATCAGAACGCAATGCAAGTCGGTTTGCGATTGAAAACCTACGTTTCATACATTCGGTCCAAAACTCCGTGCGTGGTGTTTATAACGAGCCGTGAGCCAGTGAGTAAACGTTTATTTAGCCACAAGATTGTAGCAGGCATGGCCTCCGAGATCCCGAAGCACGCGAACGCTTCTCCGGCCGTCCCATTCGTGCGGAGAGGGCGTAATCGGAAAAAGAGAAGGAGGCGGTGTCTCTCACGGGGAGGCGCTCCCAACCCAGTCATCGACAGCATGGCGCGAGGCAGAAGAGTTCAAGAAAAAGTCTTGTTACGTCGAGTTACTGAAACTTATACTCACAAATTTTAGTGTATTTTGGTAAAACAGTGAACACCTGCTCTGGGGTAGGCAGGTAGGTAGAAAATGTTTATTGATAACCAAGAACTACGAATAGAAAGATTATCCGCGCCGCGGCCCATACAAAAATGGTCTATGGTCGGCCATAGAAAATCCTTTGTATGGCCGGCTATAGCAAATTGGCCCAATTAGCTATAGCCGTTTCTATGGCTGTCTATAGCTTTCCCTATGGTCTCCCCTATAGTTGTCTATAGCTTTTTCAATGAAAATTTCGCTATCGATTTCGGTATGGTTTAGTCTATGGGTCTCTTTAGAAAGGAAGCTATAGCCGCCTATGGCTTTTCTTTTGGTTCCTTTAGCCGCCTACAGCATTTTGTATGGTCTGCTATAGAGATCTCTATGGCTTACTCTATGGATCTTTTTAGACACCGTGCTATAGCTGCCTATGGCTTTTCCTACGGTTTCTTTAGCCGTCTGTTGCTTTTTGTATGGTCCGCTATAGCCCATCCTATAGCTCGTCTTATGGTTCTCTATACCCATCGTGCTACAGCTTTCTATAGCATTTCATATGGTCCCTTTAGCCGCCTATAGCATATTGTATTGTTTGCTATAGAGATCTCTATGGCTTACTCTATGGATCTTTTTAGACACCGTGCTATAGCTGCCTATGGCTTTTCCTACGGTTTCTTTAGCCGTCTATTGCCCTTTGTATGGTCCGCTATAGCTCATTCTATAGCTCGTCTTATGGTTCTCTATACCCATCGTGCTACAGCTTTCTATAGCATTTCATATGGTCCCTTTAGCCGCCTATAGCATATTGTATGGTTTGCTATAGAGATCTCTATGGCTTACTCTATGGATCTTTTTAGACACCGTGCTATAGCTGCCTATGGCTTTTCCTATGGTTTCTTTAGCCGCCTATTTCTCTTTGTATGGTCCGCTATAGCTCATTCTAAAGCTCGTCTTATGGTTCTCTATACCCACCGTGCTACAGCTGCCTATAGAATTTTCTATGGTTCCTTTAGCCACCTATAGCATTTTGTATGGTGTGCAGTAGAAATCTCTATGCGTTACTCTATTGATCTTTTTAGACACCGTGCAATAGCTGCCTATGGATTTTTCTATGATTTCTTTAGCTGCCTATTGCTCTCTTTATGGTTTGCTATAGCTTCTTCTATATCTCGTCTTATGAGTCTCTTTACCATCGTGCCATAGCTGCCTGTAGTTTTTCTTTTTACCGCAATCGTATGAAATGTGAAACAAATTATTTGTTGTCACTGGACATCTTTAAAAAAAACCTTGTGAGACGTTCCGAACTTCATAGCCCCATTTAAAACAAAGAGCTAACATTTCAACAAAACAACAAAAAACAAATGCACTCTCTCGGGTGTTTGCAAAAGCACAGGTAAACAGACACAAGGTATTGTTTTCAAATCTCCTAGAAGTTTATTACACACAGCCCATTCTGTAGACAAGCACACACTAAGCAATCTCTACTATGTGAAGAGGTACTACTGAGCTGTTATACAACTGAGAATATTGTAAAGCAAACAAGAACCAAAGGCAATTCCTGGTTAGTGTCTAGTCCCCCGGCAGCCGGCCGAATTCCCCCCCCCCCCCCTTTCCCCCCGAAATTCTAATGCCAGTCGCCACTCATTGGCGCTGCAATCAGTTTATCAAAAGACGTTTCATCGAGATCGTTTCATCAACACGTGACGTTTATAAACAACTCAAAATATGTTTTTTTTTTGTTTGTTTTTTTGTAATGATTTGCCAAGAAGTGGCGTGAACGGGTGGGCTGAGTCGGTGAGCACGCGCCTCACGAATACAGGCGCGACGAAATGTCCCTGCAGCGTGCAATTCGCGTAACGAGTGCCGACTAAACGTGTGTCCATGAAGCGTCTATCCACGAAAAGGTGTCCATGAAACGTCTTTTCACAAAACGCAGAGAGAATAAGAATGTCAGTATTCTAACTACAATTTTCACACGATTTCAGAGAGCTAATGGCAGGCGACTGCGGTAGAATTACGGGGAAATTATTCTCCCAGCTGTCAGAAGATAGGCACTGCCAGGAGATCGACACTACAGAACGGTCAATTGTCGCCGAGTAGGTTGCAGCGCACTTACGTTCAAAATACCGGACTTGAAAGATGTAATCCGAAATATACGTCGACACGGGCACTGCAGACCAACCACTCAAACACAAAACCGAGAAGGAAGGGATCCGTGAAGATTCACCACGATGTAGCACAAGCTGTCATTTGCCGAACCGAACACTGAAGTCATCACAAGAATGTCTTGGGCTTCTTTGAAGAAATCACTTGTTGCCGACATACGGGTAGGACTTTTCGATCGGGATACCTTTTAACATTAGGGAGTTTTCGTAGACCGCGCTGCCCCCTCCGCTAAGCGTTCCGCAACGAAGAAGTTGCTACTGCGCCTGCGCGCCGATAGCCTTGACTGTGGAGTTCCCGCTATCGTAGCGTGTTGCGGAGGGCCTTGCGGGACGGCTAAAACGACCTACGAAAACTCCCTATACACCAACTCATGTTTACAAACAAACCGGAGCGCCCGGAGCGCCCCTAGCGGACGCCACCGGCGCCGCGCATGCGCGATGGGGGTGTGGGCAAAAAGCTCGCCGTCGCCCATAAACAAAACATTGAAATGCGATGTTGTCGGCGTCGGTGTGAGTCCCCCTGCCCTTTTTCGCGTTCGAATTGTTGGTTCTACGTCTTCCTGGCGATGTCTGGCTACTTGAGCGGCGTCAGCGAAATTACCGAGGCTCGTTACACCGCAAAACTTCGCGTGAATAATGTGACATGTGGCGACTCATTCCGCGTGGACGCCGCAGATTGTACGCTAAAGCCTGATGAAATTTCGCTCGGAATTTTCAGTCGCGACGCCGCTCGGGCTGCAAAAGCGTGAACCGTAGCTGAGATGGTCGACGACGATACTGAAAATCGCAAGCAGAATCGGACCAACTAAATTAGGCATAACAAGTCGGTGTTGGTCACTGGTAACAATGACCAACATCTCCTTGTATCAACTGTTTACATCGAGCCTGCTTACCAATCTTCAAATTTAAGTCTTTTGAGGCCTGCACTCACTTCTTATCGCAAGTACCGGGCCAACACTTGGTCTACGGACCGGCGTCTGCTCTTTCAAACAAACGTTTGAAAGAGCAGACGACAATTCGAACAATCAAGCGGCCTTTTGAACTTGAAGACGCACTGAACGTAGTCCACAGGTGGTCTGCACAACTTGACAGTTTTCTGGCGTTCATGTTGGAACAAAAGAAATCTGATGACCACAAGTATCCGTGAATTCAACCCAAAGTG